GTAATATGGTATTTGAACTCAGGTTCACTTGACTTCAAAATCCAAGACCTTAACCTCTGTAGATGATACCTTTTCACAACAGCTAAGTCTCCCAATTTGGCTGAGCTCTGAGGATAAAAAACTCATTCACAAAGTTACTACATTACAATCCAGTGGAAAAAGCAGCTTTTTAAACAAATATATTAAGAAAATAGACTTATGCCTAAATGTCCAATGGAGCAAGGAAGAGGGAGTGATTAATTTTGACTGCAGGAGATAAGATACTTTGCACAGGGGGAATATTTTGTGCATTTTTATGATATCTACTTTGGGGAGCAATTGATTCATTTATCTCCAAAAAGTGATATCCAGGGAGGCATATTTTGCTTTGATTTACCTCTCTTAAGGTAAAGATATGCAATAACTGTCCATAAATATGGTTTAATAGACAGAAAGTGTTGCTTCTAGAAAAAGCCTCATATTTCTAAAGGCTGTTGCTGCATCACCATGAGCAGGGTTGTGCCTTATGGAGAATGGGTGATGTATTTGGCTATTAGCAAGGCTGTGACTGTTTCACCTTAAAATGCTTATTCCAAATACTGAGAAGATGGTTGTTTGAATTTATGCAGGCTCCTTTTTATAACTATTGCAACTTTCTGTAGTTTTTTAAACTTTGCATGAGGCTTTTATTGACTTTGTAATCTGGAAAATGTGTAGTGAGAATCTAAGAAAATCTCAATGGAAGTACTTTATGAACAAGGCAAACTGTCATGAACGGGCAGTGAAGACGGACAAATCAGGGCTGGAGATTTAGCTCAGTGGTTCCACTGCCTGCCTCGTAAGTGCAAAGTCCCGAGTTTGATCCCTGGTACCAAGAAAAAAAAAAGGACAGATCATATCTGAAAAAGGAATAAATCCTTTGGTTTACCTTGTTCATCTATGGCAGAACCCAGTTCAGAGTTTTCTGCAGGTTATCTCTAATTCTAATTGTGTTTTCACCTGTCCTGAGAAACTGAAGCCACAGATGTCCTTTCTATGTGCATCAAATGCCTTGTGTATAATTACATAAGCTTCAGTGCTGGCACTTGGTGGTCTGTAGGTTAATTACAGGTGTACAGAGGGCAGAGGAAGGTACACAGTTCAGAGCTGGCATTTAGATATTAACAGGTGTTAATGAAAGCAGAACTCCTTTAGCTCCTGCCTTTACAGAAGGTGTCCACACAATCATTTTTGGTCCAAAGAGTGAAGGTTTTCAAGGTATTAAAAATGAGTCAAAGTACATCTTATTTAATTATTTGTGGAAATAAGAGATTACATATGTCAGGGGAAGTTTAAGAATAGCACACAATCCATAAACTCACTCAATGGGGACCATTTCCAGCCCCCATTTCACTATTACAGGTTATTGAAGAAGAATTAATCCCACCAGGAAGGCAGCAGGTGGAGAGGGAGAGGAATTGAGCATTGGAGATCCACTTCTAGCAACAGCAGGGATCTATGGTCAGTAAAAATGCCCCTGAAGTGCATAGCAGGTGTAATTATGCAGGAAGAAACACAAACTATCCACAATAGGCTACATGTGGGATGAGACACAATTCTTCAGGCCCCCACCTTCCTCACAGATGAAGTAGTATTGATGTTATCACCTTTCCGTGTCCTTCAGGACATACTGCTATTTATTTTTTGCATCCAAGAAAGATTCATTGAGTTTCTGCACTACACCTGGTACCACTGATAAGTTTTACCAATTTGATTTGTCATTTTAATCAGATGCTTTTGTCATTTTCATAAATCCTGATTTAGAGACTTCATAATATAGTCCATCATCTAAATATATTAAATAATGTCTCAAAGTCAAGGTGTGAGTCCAGAAGAAAAATTCAGAAATCTACCTTCCTTATTTACGTTTCTTTGCTCTCTCGTCTCTGTCTCTCTTTCACCCTCAGGCTTCCAACACATTTCCTAAGGCTTTAAAAGTAAAATTACATTTTTCTTAGGATTAAACAAATGTTAGGTTTTAAACATTCACTTCTGAGGCAAGATTTCAATATCATATGTTCCTTCTTGTTAACATTTTAGGTTTCCTTCATTCTAGAGAGAATATCCTTCATATATGTGTGACTTAAACATTTTTTCACGTATTCACAGGAAGTTTGAGACATATAAATAGAAAATTACCTTTAAATACAAATCAATTCATCCCAGTTATCTGCCAAAGAGAGAGAGAAAGAGAAAAAAGCAGCCTCCATCACTTCTGTAAAAAGAGGTGGCATAGCTCAACTTCACATAGGGGTGGAGAACAAAAACAGTAACTGCCTAGTACCCAGGATGACAGACACTTGTTAGAAGAGAATGATTCCCCTTCTCACTCTTTTGACTCAGATGCCTGGAATACAACAGGGAAACCATGACAGCTTATTCTTTCTGAGCACCCTTCTGGGAGTGGCATGGAGAAATCAGGGTAATTCTACGGCGTTTATTCTTCAGCCATTAAAGCAGATGCAGCATCTCACTCTTGTCTTTGAAAGTGCATTAAACTACACGTAGAAGAAGTGAAAACTGAAGCAAAACTGAGCTAAGTGTGCAGCTTTGAGAGTGACAAGCAATTAAAGTTATAGGTAAGTCTTAATATAGAATGGATTTATTTCATGCCATGAATTCTTTCAGTTCAAGTACATGTGCTGCTTATTAATGAATCCTAATCTATTAAACTTTAAATACATAACTTTTCATTTCTAGTTTTTCAATGAAAGCATCCTGAATTTAATTCATATTGATCTCAGCTTCACAGTTAGAATGTAAAAAATGTTGATAAAATTCTGAAGATCTATTTGTATTTTTCAAAGCTACCTGAAATTTACTTGATGATATAATACTCACATTGCCTGACTTTTACTTCCAGTCTGTCAAATCCTCAGTGTTAGTTAGCCAGCTATATTCTCCTTTTCACAAAAGAATGCCACTTCAATAGCTATGACTGAGGACATAGCCATTGAAGATGACCTCACTTTCAAATGCTATTTTGTGGGGAAAAAATTGCAGATGTATACAGAAAGATACTGAGGCTTATTGTTTTATTTTTATTTCTTCCTTGTTTCAGTAGTTTTATTCTATCCTGACTCACTGTGGCATAGAAACAATAAAAAAACTATGGAGGCTACTAATTCTGACTACTATAACAGAACAGAAGAAGAATATAATATTCACCATTTCAAAGTATCATTAACAAGTTTATATCAATTATTTTTATCTATCTATCAATCAATCATCTATCAGTGTGTTTATTGTCTACCTTCCTGGATATCCACATATTTTTATCTATTTCTGTTTTAACATCATAAAATGAAGGGTATACAAATGGTAAATTGTATTGCTTTAAGAAAAATGCAACATAAAAAGTTAACCCAAGGTAAAGTGAAATGTCATTTACATTGACTACCTTCTGTACCTATCTGACTTACAGTCATTAGGTTAATCAATACTTTTCTGCTACACAAAAACAACCACTAATCAACAGAGAAAAGTGTGATATTGTGGCCATGCAAATAAATTATTCATTGTAATTGATAAAGCACTTCAAGACATAACTTTATTGGAAATTAATATTAGTGAGATAAATTATAGATTATTCAAATCAGTTATTGTCTCTATTTTAATATATTAGTCAATATTTGTCCAGCAAGAAGCTCATGGCAATGTTTTAAGATATTTCATTGCAGTCTCATGGTTTTTTTTTTATAAATGTGAAATTATTTCTGCAGTTGTGTATAAATATATGGTCTCCCTCTAGAGAAATGCTTTTCTTTTATGCTTCCATGAAGACAACCATCTTTTATTTTACAGAATTATAGACCAAGCCACTGGCAAAAACCAAAGCTAGTATTATATCACTTTCTAACTTGTTCCCAACTATTTGCACTAGCCTTTCACTTTTTTCCTTATAAATTTGATATTTTAAATTTTCTCATATAAATGTTCAAGTTTTAGTTTTTCCAAGTGTATATCAGTATTTCCACATATGTGTTTATGTTTAAATACAGATAGCCTATTGTTATAAGTACATCTTGTAATTCTAATCACAGGAAAAGGAAAGCTCAGTTTTACAAGATGACTTCAGTGTGTGGTCCCTGGCACCTGTGAAGGAAGCAGAAGACGAAGGAGCTCACCTCTGGTTCCTGAAGTTGCCAAATGAGGCCTTTGTTTCCTCAGTCCTTGAGTCCTTATCTTATGCAACATTTTCTCATAACAACAGGTAGTGTAAAAACATCAAACTGCATCTTAAGTATAGGTAGTCAAGTTGACTGAGGAAGGATATTAAAGTTAAAATTTAAATGGCCATTCAATATATAAAATGAACTTGCTTTTAGTAACTGACTATAATTCCCACTGCATTTTCTTATACAGTAACTCTTTGACCATATAATTCTCACTGATCAAATTCAGTGAGTCTAGTTTGAAACCCTAGAAAGCATATTTATATAAAAATATATTATTTCAGAGTGAAGTAGAATTTTTAATTGACACATTTAGTGTCATTAATATTAGTACAGGATAAACTATGAAAAGGTTAAATGTTCTGAATGCCTCATGGTGCTGAAAGTCATAACCTGCCATTCCTTCACCAGATAGTCACTGAATGCCTCTTAAGTTCAAGACCAAGATGCTTAATAAATATTTGTTACATGAGTAAATGTTTCTCCTGTGTGTTTCGGCCTTATCTGGTTAGTTTATTGCTTCCTGTAATGTGGTTCAGCTGTTAGTCAATTGCTTGTAGCTGAAAATTTTATTAAAAAAATAAGATTATTCATTTTACAACAAAAGAGAAGAAATAAGAAGACAATGGCTGACACGGAGATTTCTGCTCTTCCTGTTCAGATACTTGCTATCTATTAATTCCATTCTTATTTCATTAGGAAATATTCACAGAAGCAAAATATTTACCCTTGGTTCTGTCTACCTTTCACCCTTCCCAAGGGTTTTATATAACAAGACTGACTAAATCTTAAAAGATTTACGTAGGTTTAAGTAGCATTTTCATTACTGGGTCTGAAGTCAGCTTTTGAATTGATACTTAATCCTATTAAGAAAAATAAAGTGATACTAAAAAGGAAATTCTTTGTAAAACCCAGCATGAAACAGACCCAAGCATTAGCTTTTAGCTTCTGATAATGTGCTTCGTGTAATGTTTTAGCCAAGGTCTTGCACAAAATTGAGTCCTTAGCCCTCACAGTAATTTTTAGAATAATTTTTACAAGCATATGAAAGGATAGCTTTCAAAAGGCAACTGTAAATCTCAGAGGTCCCACTGTGGCCAGTGACAGCTGCTAAATGGAAATGGATGAAAAGCAAGCAATGCAAATACAAAGCAATTTGCACAACTCCTGGTCCATGTGAAGGGAGCTAATGGCAGTCAGTGCTGCTCTGCTATTGTAAAGTCACTTGCCTTGCAAACTGTAGATCTCGCCAACACTGTTCTGACGAGTAATGTGATGCCAGTATGCACTGCGAGGAAGAGAGATGGATTTGGATAATGTCATTGGTTCAGTCAAGCTTGTCTGAAGCTAAAGAGAAAAAGAAAACACGTCTTAGGCTTATTTAAAATATTACACTAAAATTTGCTTTTTTAAATGAGGGTAGAGTATGTGGGACTTTTAAAGTATAATTGTACTCAAAAAATATAAAATGAACAGTTTAAAACAATTTAATCTAACCCATTAACTAAAAAGGGAAAAAGATGGTACAACTGATTCCAAGGAAAATGACAGTGGCATTTAGCCAACTGGGCATGCTGGTGTAATCCAAGATAATTCTATTTCTCCAGACAAATTTATTTGCATTCCTATGGACAAAGTTTTTCTGCATTACTCTTGGATTTCCACAACATATAGAATGGTAAAATAACTTTAAAAATGGAGATGCAAGTCTCTTCAGAATCAGATATTCCAGAATAAGACACCTATTATCCTTTTTTTCTAACCATTTCAGTCTCTTCTGGACACTTTCTCTAACCTTCGCAATGGTTGTTTTTCTCAAATACATTTTTTCCTTGCCTCTGCACTAGGGACTTGCACATATAAAATTAGTGTTGTTGTTTTTTTTTTTTTTCCTGAGAAATTCTAGAAGGGTGGTGCATTTTCTTATTTCAAGTGTACATTTTAAGGTTAGTCAAAGAGATCCACACCATGTCACAATATTTGCTTAGGTATATGATTAATTCAAAGAAAACAATAGTTTACATTGCATTTTTAAGAAAAACTTATTTTAATTAATTCGCACCAGGTTTTAATAAACACACAGAAATGGCTTTATTTGATCTTTATACATATTTTTCTGATATAACATGAGCTAACAATGACTTTTTGACCAAAATGTGAATCTGCTTATGAATAAAATTTCATTTTTCCTTAATGCTTGACCTTTGGCAAAGTGGGGGTTGTAAAGACTGACTCTATCTACCTTCTGTGTAGTGCCTACCCCACCGTGTTCAGTTCCTTAAACCCCCTGCGCCTGGCCTTGGGTTCTGCCCCTTCTACTCTTCACAGGAGACTGAGGTCAGGAACGTACTTGATGCTGAAACATCTTTTAAATCTGCATAAAACTAAGAGGACTTTACACTTTAATAGATGGTGCAAGACTTTAAGCATATTTATTTGATTTTATGTTTTCTAGTGATGACATTTTCAGAACAAAAGTGTCATACAGTCAATTTAAGTTTAGTGCCATTGAATTTTTTTTTTAAAGAAGACAGGTCCAAAAAACAATAATACAGCCACTTTTTATACTTCTTGAAATTTGGTATATTTCAAAATTTCCTCCTTATTTACAAAAATTGGTGTACTATCCACATTCACCTCCTATTATGTGTGTGTGTGAGGTGTGGAGAAGACAAATATCTGGATTAGAGTAGAGCAGAGGTTTCAGAATCTTTGGGATGCTTGTTAACAAAGCACATTTCCGATTTGTCTCTAGTCCTAAGTGTTGTGCCCGCAGTTACCCACGTTAAGAACTGTGGGGGGCCTTGCCCCCCCGCTAGAACTCTTGAGTGCCTTTTACGGACATATCCGGGCCTGCTGCAAATCTACCCGGCAACAAGGAAGTAGCCCCAGTACCCTCCTCTTGCTCCTCCCCTCTAGCCCTACGGTATATATGTTGTAACAGCTTCTGCAATAAACGAGACTTGATCAGAAACCTGTCTTGTCTCCATCTCTCGTGTCCCCTGTCCCCTCTCATCCTCGCTCCCCCTCTAGGGTCTCCGTTGACTTACCCGCGGGCCGGGACAAAGAACACCCAATATCCTCATATAGATCACAATTTGTCACCTACTACTATATGAGAATAGAGTCAAGGCTCATTTTTACAAGGTGTTTTTGGGAGAAAAGATCTTTCCCTTCTGAAGTCAATTTCCCATATGAGGCAAAAATTTAATTAAACACCTACATTTTGAATTTGGGTCAGCAGTGCCCATTAATAACATCAATTAATTTGCGAAATGAATCTCATATTAATCACTGTTGTTTACTGTGTAATCTTTCTCCTTTTAAAATCTATGATAATTTGTCATACAAAAATTTTTAAGTTGATGAAAGTGATTTTGCTTCTATTTTTCTTTTAATTCTGGGAAACATTTTTTTCTTCCTCAAATGGTCAGTCAAGATTAAGAATCACGGAAACACAATAAACATATTTTATTTTCTGGAAACAAATAATTGGAAACCACTAGAGAATAATTCTCTCCCTACCATTTTTGTCTGAATCACCCCATATTGTTTTATATCTCATGTTTCTCTAGTTCTTCTCTTCATTGTTGTCAAGTCCTGGCATGCCATTCTGTTTCTTCATTTGTTTCTTTATTTTCTCTTTATTTCACTTTTACATTGGAAAAAATGGGAACATATGTGTTTAAGACTTGATTATGGATTTCTGTGGAATCTTTACAGATCTTGTCCACTACATCTCAGATGTCTAAGTATTCTGCTCAACATTAGGGAGTCCACTTGCCATTTATGCTTACGTTTTAAGAACTGCTGAGGACTGGATTGTGTCCTCCACCATATCCCGTGTTGGAGCCCTAACTCTTGATATGACTACATTTGGAGATAGGTCTTGCAAAAGTTAATTAAGTTTAAATGAGGCTACAATGTTGGTACCCTCATTCAACAAGATGGTATCAGAAGAAGAGACACTAGGGATTAATGTGCACATAGAAAAGCCCACGAAAACACACAACAAGAATGTGGTTACCTGTAAGCCAAGGAGAAACCAACCCTACTGCAATATTGATTTTGAATTTTTACTCTCTATAATTGTGAGATAATACATTGCTGTTGATTAAGCCACCCAGTCTGTGGTGTTTTGTTTTGGCAGCTTTAGCAAAATAATACAACTACTGTTCCATGGGCGATACAACATAGAGTATAAAATCTATCTGATTTGTCCAATGACTTTTAATTTTGTTATGTTATGTATTATAAATTGGCCTTTTTTTTAAATCTGTTTTTCTTTTTGGTGGTACTGGGGATCGAACTCAGGTCCTTGCGCTTGCACGGCAGGCAGTGGAACCACTAAGCTAAATCCCCGGCCCAAATTGTCCTTTTTGATTGGCATGATGACAAAGTCAATGTGACAATAGTTCAAACACTTTTATTAGACAATTTTGTTGGTTCTAATTTTAAACTCTTCATAAAACTTCATTTGGTGAGAGAATTCAAGAGAACATAGAAAAATTGTCCTTAACTATTTTCATATTGTAATAATGTTTCAAGTGAACACATTAAAAAATAAGGTTTAAAGTGCTAGAGTAATTTATTTTTTTCCTATTGGGTTTCCCATATAAGAGAAACCATGCAGTATTTAAACTTGTAAAGTGCTATAGTAATTTCTTAATTGAAAGAACAATGCAACAACTTGAACTGGAAGATGTTTAGGATCACAGTAGTAAATATTTAAAAACATATAGGGCACTTTGTATTCAAAGTAAAATAAATACCTATGTTTACATCTCTATCTCTGTATCTCTATATCTATGATGTACCTACATATGTGAAAAATCATATTGTGAGATCTGTTCTAAGCAGTTACTGTGTTTTAAGAAATTAGGCAAGTGTTCTCTGGCAGGGTCTACTGTGATGATTTTTGGTGGCATTTGCCATTGGAAAATTCCTCAAGAGAAACCACAAAATCGTGCAGTGCCTTGGACCAGATCTCCCTCCGTATTTTACTGTGAACACTTTCACACAGGCAACACACTCATCTGTTTCTCCTTTTGCATAGACAGGGTCAGGTTTCTAAAATGATGCTTCAGCATAGATGAAGAAACCAACTAGACAGAGAAGCACTTAGTTCAGCTCTTGAAACATTTGCCAAGGCTTTCTGCAATCTTCGGCCCTAACCTTTTGGTTCCATTCTTTTGAAACAACATTTATTTCCTGGGGATACTGAGTAATGAATTCATAGTTGCTTATTTAGCATCTGGGAATGGTGGAAATAACAGCTCAGCCAAGTGCAGAGTTAGGGTTGTGAAAGCTATGTCATAAAGCCCACAGCCAAAGAGCAGGATTTAGTTCCAAAATGTGCTGTGTGGGACTAAAATTAATACCTTTAGTTGAGCATCACACAGACAATGGTCATAGTGTCTTCAAGTTGATGATAAAGGAGACTGAAGAGAAGAGAAACATTTATAGGACTCTCGCACAGAGATCTCTTCCATTTAGGCAATAAATACACAAATGCATGCATTTATAAATATCTGAGACCAATAGATAGTATCAAAGTAATACTTCACTACTGTTTCCTGCAGCAAACTTTATTACCCTCTCTCCTAAACTTTGGGAAACTCTTTTGAACATATCTTGTTGAAAGGGTAGTTGTGAGGAACCATTTCTTTGGAATTCAATCATGACTTTGCATTACTTGTGACAACTTTTGTTTCTTATTACCTTTTCAGGAATGTTTGTATAGCAAACAGTATTAAAAGTCCACTGTTATTTCAACATGGGTATTGATCTTTCCCAGGAAAAATGATTTGATGGTATTGATTTTTCCCTCCTCAACATATGGCAATATGGGACAATTCAGCCCTACCTTAAGAGGACTTATGCTACCAGGAAGAAGCAAGTGGGGCTTGGAAACTATTGGGATTTTTAAGAAAGGAAGAGCTACCACCACCTCTTTGTTATTTTACAAAAAATAATCTTTTGGATTACCTTATTGCCTTTTGTACTTTGCTCCTTTGAGACTTTTTTCCTTCTGTAATGAACATTAATGCTAATTCATTAATCCATATAAAATTCATTTGTACAAATAACTTTGACTTTCCTTGTACTCTGTATCACCATAGTGCTTGCCTAGAAATTTAACAAAATATGTTAGCATTTGAGACATAAATGTGTATAATTGGGAGAGAAGAAATTTAGCACTGAATTAACATTTATGAGCTATATCCTATGTACCTGGCAATGTGAGAACTAGTTCCATATGTTATCGCTTTGAATATTCATATAAGGTATAGTAAATGTGCCATCTTAATTTCGTAGACAAGGACTATGAGGTACAGAAGGCCTTA